AGAGAGAGAGAGAGAGAGAGAGAGAGAGAGAGAGAGAGAGAGAGAGAGAGAGAGAGAGAGAGAGTGGCCGCGTCATTTGTTTTTTTTTGTTTTCCTGCGTACGGTGCTCAATTTTTTTTTTTTTTTCTGTGGGCTGTGTTGGGCCGACCGGGCCTCCACTCGGGCGACCCCCGCTTCCTCAGGCGCGTTAACGGGGATGCCCCGTGGCCCATGTATGGGCCAAGTACTGGTGGTTTAAGCTTCCCTTTTCCCCCAAAAAAATGGACAACACTGAACACCAAAAAAGAGTCCGGATTGGGGCTGCTTTCGAGACGGGTGCAGAAAAGCCCCACCGACGAATTAAAAAAACGGAGTCGTAGTAGAAGGCATTGTCGTCGTAGTTGTAGAAGTAATTGTGCTAGTAGTAATACTAGTCATAGTAGTCGTAGTACAAGTGGTTGGCGTCATAGTCATGGTCGTAGTAGTTGTAGCTGTCATAGTAGTAGTACTAGTTATAGTAGTCGCAGTAGCAGTAGCAGTAGTAGCAGCAGCAGCAGCAGCAGCAGTAGTGGGAGTGGGAGTAGCAGTAGTGCTATTGGGAGTGGTGGCAGTGGTAGTGGTGTTGGTGGCATTGGCATTGGTAGTGGTAGTGGCAGTGGTAGTACTGTAGAAGTAGTCATAGTAGCAGTAGTAGTAGTGGTAGTGGTAAGTTGTAGTACTGGAGCAGTAGTCGTAGTTGTAGTTGTAGTTGTAGTAGTAGTGGTAGTAGGAGTAGGAGTGGTGGTAGTGGGAGCCGCAACAGGGGGAGGAAGAGGAGTAATGAGAGGCTTTGCATTAACTTTGTGGAATGGAATTTGAACTCTTAACCTGCAGCTGGTCAAGAGTACATGATGACCTCCCTTTTTGAAACAGCCTTTCCTCTGGTTTATCAAAGGCACCTTTCATAATAAGTTTGTTCTTATTACGCCGTGCTTCATCTCAACTGTTGCAGGTCCGTTTTGCAGTGGATAAGTTTGGAGATTATGCTGTGAAGACGGCGTGGCATGATGTGAGTGCATGTGATGAAGATGTCCTGGCCAACTACAAGAAGGTAAACCGTTTTCGACCAATTGGAAGAGTTTGTGCGATAACCAGTTTCTTGTATTCCAGATGATAAGGAGAAGAAAAACACAAGATGGAACCAATGTCTCCTCCTCCTCTTGCTGTCATCGTATTCCTAACATAATCACCACCTCCTCTTGTATACAATTTTTTATTTTTTTATTTTTACTTTTAAATTTTAATAAAAAAACACATTGCTTTATTATTAATGCAAAAGGAGGCCGGGAATTCCTCCACATCTCAACCCGGAATGAACCAGTGTCCCCTGATTCACAATCTCAGCCTGCCTATCCTGGCCCAAAGAGGGGACTAGAGTAGACTTTTTTTTTTTTTTTTTTTTTTTTTTTTTTTTTTGGACTAGAGTAGACTTAAAATGCTACAATTCCCGAAAAGGGGAAGACTTAGTTAGAGACTGGACTAACAGTGCTGTCAATCGCCACAGAGGCTTTTAGCTTCTACTACGCAGGGCATCTTTTGCTTGCTATTGAGGAAGGCAACCGAATCCTGAGGCGGCATGTGCTGCCGCTTTCCTTAAACCCTAAACCCTACTGTCCCCTGTGTTCTAGAGACCAACTCCCTGTTTTCTAAAACTCCTGCTCTTTTTATCGTACTGTGCTGAGTTTATGTCCGCTAAGCTGTTCTGTGAACGCGCGCGTTTCTGAAGAGTCCAGGTCCCTTGTCTGGTCCCTCCCTTGGTGTTCTTCCCTCCGTTTCCATATCAGTCTCGGGGGATCGCCCTGCACAGTGCCAAGCTTGCCCATTCCGAGTCTATCCTTGATGAAATTGTCATGATTATTTGCTTTTTTGAAGTTTTTCGAGGGTCGTCCTTGATATTCTTGGTTGCTCGATGCCAATCTGTCCGGTATTTCATGTGCAGGAGTTGTAGAACATGCTCCCAGGCCTCTCGGGTTGATGTATTTTGGCCGTCTATCGTTTGTTTGCATCGTGGCGTCCATATATTATCCACAGCATGAAGGGCCGAAGCCTTCTGAAGAGGGTTGAATGCCAGGCTTCACAGAAACGTGGCCGTGCCATACCTGTTAGGAGTGTCCGCAGGTTGTCTGGCAACGACGTGCCGACTAAGTGTCATCCAGTACTCCCACGCTCTGCTCCAAATCATTTGTATACAATTAGATACAATACCCTCACAATGGTAAACAAATGAATGAATGAACAAAAATGAATAAATGTCCAAATGAACAAGAATGAATAAATGTCCAAACAACCCCTTCCTGCCAGCACTCAAACAGCTCTCCTTTAGGTCTCTCCTGTAGGCCGCTCTTTCACTCCTGTCCTCCTGGTTGCATGTCTAGCTATGGCGGCTCATACGTGCTCAACACGGATATTCAAAATATTCAAAAAGCACAACACACTTATATTATGCCTCTCCCATCACATTCTTCCATAGCCCCACTCCCGGAAAAAGTCCATGTCCAACAGGACCAAAATCAGGTACCTTGACAGCGGCCTTCCAGATGGAGCACTCGCCAAGGAAGTGGATGCGAAGGTCCACCATAGCCGAAGGTAAGTCTATCTCTTTGCCTCGCTCCTTCCTCCTCTCGCTCTACTCATGTCTTCCACCTACCGTCTTCACCCGAATAGAACACCCGGTCATTATAGCCGTATTTGCTGCAATTTTCAGTCCAGATACGGCTATAATGACCAGGCGTTCTATTCGGGTGAAGACGGTACCTTGAGTCTTTGTCCCGATAATCCGTGGTCAACCAACAACTCTGATGATGAGTCTGATGATGATTACTCAGGTTCAAAGGAAGCTCAATCTTTAACATTGCCAACTAAATGCGACGACCAGCTGAGAAGAAGACCCTAGAAAGCTAGTTAGTTAGAACCCTAGAAGACCCTAGAAGGCTAGTTAGTTAGAACCCTAGAAGACCCTAGAAGGCTAGTTAGTTAGAACCCTAGAAGACCNACCCTAGAAGGCTAGTTAGTTAGAACCCTAGAAGACCCTAGAAGGCTAGTTAGTTAGAACCCTAGAAGACCCTAGAAGGCTAGTTAGTTAGAACCATAGAACCGCATCTCCTTGCCCCTTGCTACCAAATGACAGAGCTTCGAAAGCATATGTTCTGTCTTCAGCAAAAAACAAAAAGCTGTGCCTTTTACAGTTTTATGGTTCTACCAAATTTTTCCTCCTTTTCGGTTTATTTGAATGCATGCACAACAGCGTTAGGCGGCCAAGAAGACAGGAACCCCACCCCCATGTCCAGGGGGATGCGTGGATGAGCGCAGAGTTTAAACTTTAAACCACCGCTACGTTTCCCGGCTTGAAAAACAAAGATGCGGATTGTTTACGGCCGCAACGTTCGGGAAGTACCGGGGCGTTCGTTTCGCTGGATATCCATCCATCCAGGCAAAATGGGTCGCATAACGGGCCTTGCATGTGACCGCGTTTTGCCTGGCTGGATATCCATTCGGCTTGTTTACGGCCGCAACTTTCGGCAAGTACCCGGGTGAAAACGGGTCGCACCGCATAACGGGCCTCGCATGCGACCCGTTTTGTCTGGATGGATGGATATATAGCGAAACGGCACCACGGTGCTTCCCGAAAGTCGCGGCCGTAAACGCGCCGCAACTTGGAAAAGATAGCTGTGAATCAAACGTACTGGTGGTTTAAGCTCCTGCTCCACTGGCATGGGTGTTGTTTGAAAAGTCAAAAGTACAAAAAAAAAAAAAAAAAAAAAAAAAAAAAAAAAAAAAAAAAAAAAAAAAAAAAAAAAAAAAGTCAAAAGTTCAGAGTTCAAACTGAACAAAATACTTCAAGTTGGGAAAGAATGAAACAAACAAAGTTACGAAGAAAAAAATTTGATTTCTACGTCGTCGTGTTTTTTTCCCTTCTTTGCAGCCTTTGAAGTGCCAGGATTGGGATAAAGCGCTGGTCGAATTCGCTGCCAGTCTGATGGCGATCCAAAAGGAGGAGGTTCCCCCTCTCCAGCGGCGGCTTCAAAACATCAAATGCCCAGGTGGGTACTATGCCCATTGTGTTCCATTGCATTTACAAGTTATTCTTATGCCTCTTGATTGTGCAAGGATGTCGCCAATTTCACACCAGATCGCGAAACTGTGCACGGACGAGGAAAGTACAGTAGACGCAAGAGCATCCCTGTCTCTTATACACATCTAGATGTGTATAAGAGACAGATATATATCTGTTTGTGACAATATATATATATATATATATATATATATATATCGTCAAATATATATATATATATATATATCGTCACAAACAGAACTGCCCGGTAAAACCGTAGGCAGAGAGAGAGAAGAGGACAACAAACGAGGGGCTGTGACAAACTGTTTCGTCGGAGTTTCACCGACTCATCAGGATATATATATAATATATATCGTCACAAATAGAACTGCCCGGTACACCGTAGGCAGAGAGGGAGAAGAGGACAACAAACGAGGGGCTGTGACAAACTGTTTCGTCGGAGTTTCACCGACTTATATATATATATATATATATATTTCGTATAGTGGCTTCGAAGTTTGGAGGCCATCCGAGCAGGAGGCAGAAGGATGATCGTGGCACGTTGGGTCATATGCCATGAACTCATTACGTTCACTGTGAAATGTAAAGCCTCGCCCATCGGGTTCTATTTGCAATTTTGCACTAAGTCTTGTCAATCACTACACAAGTAACGAGGTGAGCAGCACGATATGAAAACCCATCAATACCTTTCTCGGCCTTTTGGCTAAAAATAGATCAAGTGCACTGTATCTGTTCTTATTATCAGTTTAATATCTGATCGGTGGTCCATCGGACCACAAAAAAAAAAAAATAAAAAAAAATCAAGTATTCGTATTGGCTCCGAAATGCTCGGATTGACTCGACTCGGTTTTGATTCTCAAGTTTGCCTGGTCGATGTACTGGCAGTTTGAGGCTACCGTCTTCACCTGAATACTGACTGTATATGGACTGGAAGTTGGACCAAGTACAGCTATAATGACCGGGCGTTCTATACGGGTGAGGCTGGTAGCAGACTATCTGGACATGGGAGTAGGAAGGCAGTGGATTACAGAGACATCCACCAAATAGGGTTGCAAATTCCAGTGGCATTATCACCAACCCCCCCCCCCCCCCCTGCGCCCCCCCTCAAAAAAAGGCATTATTAGCATACCCAAGACTCGAGTGCAATTCCACGTTTTTATCTTTTTTCTTTTGGCTTTTCTCAGTTTTCTGACGGGTGTAGTTGTTGTGGTTCAACTTGATGCAACAACCCCTGGCCTGAAAAAAAAAAAAAAAAAAAAAAAAAAAAAAAAACCCTCTGGCCTGAACTCATGGCATGCATGACCTGTGAATCATCCATTGTCTTTCTCGCGGAATCAGTCATCCATTTATGTGCAATTGAGAATACTACGGTAGTCCTCCTCCTCTCTCCTCCCGCCTCCCTTGTCCCTCGTCCCTCCTCTCTCCTCTCCTCTCCTCTCCTCTCCTCTCCTCTCCTCTCCTCTCCTCCTTGTGCACTTACTGTGGTTGGTTGATCGTTTCCCTGCCTGCAGTGCTTGTTATAAGTGGTGACGACGACAGAATTGTTCCGGAGTGGAATTCAAGGCGTGTGGCAGAAACTATTCCTCTTGCACAGTATCGTTTGCTGGCAGATTGTGGCCATTGTCCGCAAGAGGAGAAGCCACAAGAATTCCTTTCTTTGCTACAGGCCTTCTTCAAAGAGAAGCTGAATATTCCACCGGACGTACCGGGCGACAAGCCGCCGCCGCAGCAGCAGGACCACCTGGGCGGTTGACCTCAGGTTACCTACACTAAGTCTTGATGCTCTCCAACTTGAAGACCTTCCTCCTAGAGTAGAAAAAAATGCCTCATTCCGTTCCGACGCAGACGTTCTCTCAGTCTCGAAGAAAGTGCAAACGTTTTTTTCTCAAAGACCGAAGGAAGACACACTCCATACAGAAAAAAAAACGTTTGCAATGTGTACAGGAAGAAGAAATGGCCTCCAAGAATTACGGCAGCGATCCCCGCTCTGACTCTGCAGCTGGTGCATCTGTCTCACATGCACTTGGCCAACTCTTCGGAACAAAAACGTTCGTTGAGCTGAACAAGTCCGTTCAGCGAAAAGACGGCGGGTGCCACAAGGCACGATGGATTAAGGGAATTTATTATGACCACCAACCTCATGTGCACACCGACCTAGCAATAGAGAATGAGATGTGGATATGTAAAGATTCGTACGAATGAAGCTGTCGCTATGTATAATGTATATTATATAGTATAGTATAGACTACTTCTGGAGGTGAGCATGTGGCAGTGTGTAGACTTGTGTCGTACATGAAGCTGTCCCTGCGTTGTGAAGGCGAGGTGCAAGATGGATCATTGTGAATCTTAAGATGCCTGCGGTGCGGTTTAATCCAAGAGGCAGCGAGCGACGGAAGCAGACAATGGCTGCGTGCCCAGCTCAGTGGGCGTACTATTCTTTCGCCTTTTACTAAAGAATACCGTGGGCTGTGCACACTTAAGCAGCTTACGTGAATTTTTCGCAGGCCTTCCAGACTAGTCTTTAAAAAAAAAAAAAAAAAATTCCCGGCGGGAGATCAATGAGAGTCGGCAACTGCGCACTTTGGGCTCCAGTTTGCAAGCCTGGGAAATCATATCGCTGCACCCCAACAGAACGCCCGGTCATTATCGCTGCATCTGGATCGAAAGCTGTGCCAAATACAGCTATAATGCCCTGGCGCTCTATTGGGTCTGGGTGAAGACGCTAGCAACCCTTCGGCGGGCGAGGGAAGGTAAACAAATCCCCTATGAGATCCTCTCGAGTCCCAACCAACATCGGAACTTTCTCTTCTTACATCTTGTCAGAAGTTTCTCCTCTTGCAGACTGACATGTGCTGGTTATTCATATTTTAATAATAATGTATTATTTTCTTCTCATATGTACTTTATTCATATTTTAATAATAATTTATTATTTTCTTCTCATATGTACTTACTAATTAACTACTTATCGAATCAGGACTTTCTCCTGATAGGTGGTCCTAATTATCAGAATGAGATGTGTAATTAGGCAAACAACGGGACGGGCAGCGAGGGCCGCCGCCCGACGTTTTTACGCAACGGCAGGCTTCTTGGTGAGGGTGGGAAACGAAGAAGGGTTGGGGAGCCATGATGGCAGTTTTGAAGCGAGGACGAGAGTGAGAGGACAGCAGGTGGATGATGAGGCGGGAGAGGGATCGTGGGGCATGGAGGAGCAGGCTAGTGGTGTCCGGGCGTTGCTGAAGGCTCTCCTGTTTGTTGTTTCTGTCACATGCTTGCTCGCTTGAGAGGAAGAACACGGGGGCAGCGTGTCTCATATCATGGTCTCGTTGGAGAGGAGGAATCTTGTGGGGGGGAGTAAGGGGAGGCAGGCAGGGTCTCATGGGCTAGAGGGAGAGTATTACAAGGAATGGAAAGAGGAACGCAGGAGTAAGGATGTTGAAGACAGGTCTTCTATAGGCAGGCGACATCTGCGCCGATGACACCCCTTCACCTCTTTGGGGTACCTGTGAGGGGCGGCTGACAGGCTCAGTGGTTTAGTCTCGTGACGTGGTTTGGATTGCTGTGATGGTTAACCCTAGCTGTGGTCCTGTTATCTTCATCGTTCGGTCCTTTGGGATGGTTGAATAGTTGTCAACCACAGGCGGCCGAGTTGCTTGAGAGTCGATGAAGGAGGAGGTGAGGTTTGGAGAGAGGGGGGGGGTGCGTTTAGGGATTGTCGAGGGTAAGTTGTGTTCTTCCTCTTCACGTTTTGTAGTGATGATTCTGTGATGACCCTGATGAGATTCTTAACGATGTGATTCCTAGATAGTTTTGCTTGATTCAATACCTATTAGTCTTTCTTTCTTTTTTTTTTTCTTTTTTTTTTCTTTTTTAAACAGGCCCTTATGGGTCCTGGCTCCATATCCATTCTGGGGAGCGTCAGTCCGGTTCCTATTCCCCCGGCAAGTCAAAAATTTGATACATCATAGAACACGCTCACGCTTCTTTCCGTCTGGCCGAAGGAACCCTGACCAGCATTGATTGCTCCTTATAGGAGGATTGACTGTCAGCTTGCCTTTCCCTGAACTCCCTCTCAGATTTCCCTATGGAAACCTGTCAAATTCCCCCCCACCAGCCAGACCTTGACGAATTTGGAGAGGATACTGCGCTGTCGATCTTCATCTTCAGGCATGGAGAGTCTCATCTTGTGCCATCTGCATAGGATCTCTGCCTGGATCAGGGTCCTTGTCTCCACCCAAACCTTTTCTCTCGGAGTTGATAGTCCCTCGATGGTTCTGCTGCATCTCTCCTTCCAGATCGACCAGAGCGTCACTTTTCTGATCATGCCATACCGTATCTTCTCAGCGTTGTTGAAATCAGTAGGAATGTTAGTCCGGAGAAGAAGTTGGATGGGATGTTCAGGGAGGGGGGATGTGAAAAGGGAGTTCCAGAGGTCCGAGGCCCTGGCCCAATATTCCGTAGCTTCCTTGCGGCAAATTAGGCAGTGAATTATATCTTCTGGCTCGTTATCTGAGCAGACTGTGCATAGGTCCGAACTGTTAGGATCACTCCTTCGTCTTCGCTTGTGGAGCCATTGGTTGACCGGTAGTGCCACGTATGCGATAAGCCATTGGAGACTCTGAATTTTAACAGGTCTGATAGATTTGAACATCTTCCATGGGATTTGTGAGATACGGTCTGCCTCTTGTCCGATTAATTTTGACCATCTACTTCTGATTACGGGTTCCGGGTCCGTAGTCTTAAGGAATAGCTTATACCCCATTTTGACTGAGTAGTCCTGGATGTCCGTGTTAATGCTTTTGTTCCTCTCAGATGTCCAGGCCCATTCTGCTGGGTCGAATTCCAGGTCTTGGATTGGGGTGTCTATTCTGAAGATTGATTTGGGCCAGGAACCTGTGACTCTTACTTTCCTGAAGCGGAAAATGTCTAAACTTGTTCTTTCCACATCTTTGTCCAAGATAGATGCAGAGCCATGAGCTGATGTCACGATTGGGTAGGATGTAAACACCGCAACGGTACTCGATCCCAGTTGTTTGTGGGAGAACCGGTTTGTTCCTGTATCCGAATTCCCCACTCTCCCGTTTTCCATGTTGGGGTTCCCTTCAGCCCTTTCCAGCCTTCCGGGATACAGTTAATGACTGTCTGCAGATTCCTATGTCTCCGGTGGCAGCCCTTGAGACGAGGGATAAGGTCCTGATCTGTTACCCACTCGTTTCTCTCTTCATCCCATATGTGAGCGATCTTCCGTACTCCATGTTTTATCCACGATAGCCAACGCGCATCTCTTGGTTTAAGAGATAGTGAGTGATCACTTTCATCTCTCATCCACGGATTACCAAAGAGGGGTTGCCTCAGGACTTCTTCCCTGGTCCTACGTTTGCCCTTTTTTTTTTCCGGCATGATTTCTTGCCAGATCCGTAGCAGAGCTGCCCAATAGGGTGTGGGCGGGCTTGCTCTCTGAGGATTGCCCCCTCGTCGATGGTTTCTGCGTCCTGTTTTCAAGGTCGATTCCTTATTCATCACCCAGAACAAGCCAGACATGTTTGCTGGTGTAGGTACCGGGGCTAGGCTTCTGATGCTATCCAACGCTAACTTATTCCGAGCTGTGCCCGGTTTGGTGAGAAGTTTGATGATCCATTTAAATTTCGATTCAAAACAAGTACTATGTTGTGAACTCAGGGGGGGAGTTAGAACTGGAGGATGGAAGGTAGTAAGGAATCCTGCAACAGGGGAGGGGTTGTTTGTTCAGGTAAGTAGGTTTAGAAGGACGATGCTGGGACGACACAGACCGGTGTTGGAGTTTCTACTCTGTGACCTAGGGGGAGCTTGAGGCCTGTGGAGTTTTGCTGAGGGTGGAAGGCATAACCACATTGTCCGACGTAGCTGGCGCCGGGGTATCTACCCTGTAACCTGTCAGGGGCTTGCAGCTAAGGGAGATGTCGAGGGAGGAAGGCATTTTCTGTTCGTCAGAGCTAGGTTGGTCGGTACTGGGGAAGGTTGTGTTGCCCTGTCACCCTAGCAGAAGGGGGTAAGAGACCAGGTGAGTTCTGGTACGAGGACTGAAAGCCTGGACCGACGATTCGTCTGTTGAGGGGGGGAGGTTTGGATAGGTGGCGGGTTCAATTTTGACCCTCTGTCTTTATGGTTTTAGGGTTGTTTTCAAAAAAAGATGTCTCAAATAGTGACTACTCAAGTAATAGGTCTTTGTCGGTGTTGTTGTTCTTAGCAATTGGGCCTCAGTCCATGATGTTGTGGGATCCGGGTCATAGGTGTTGAATGGATTATCTCCTTTAGGGTTGGAGTCCCTCCCTGCGAGGGTTACACAAGGTGGGTGGTGTGATCCTTGAGAGGGTATGGGCGGTATTGAGGGTTTGTCCTTTTTTGGGCCACGCTGAGTTTTGGGTCGGGTTAGCCATGGCGGTTGGGGAGAGAGGACAAGGGGTGCTGATGTCAGCAGGATGAGAGTTGAGAAGGCTGTTCCGCTTGGAGGGGGTGGAGCAGAAAGGAAGGGGGATCTTCGGCTCTGCGGGGGGCATACTTTAGGGGATACTGTATGCGACTGAGAGAGCAGGAGGGGTATTATGGGGGCTGTTCTGAACTGGGGCGGGGAGGTGAGGGGGCGCCTTCCCGAGGAGGCAGTGAACAGACAGGGGGTTGTTTTTTGGGGAAGAGGAGTAATCCCTTTGGTTCTTGTGACCCCTTTCATGTAACTGAGACCTCAATAGGCGCTGGACTTTCCATGGGTTTTTTTCCCTCTTCCTGTGGGAATAGTAGGCGCTGAACGCTCATGTGATTTTTTGGAATTTTTTGACTTTCTGTTTTCCTAGTTGAAAAATTCTTCCAAGGTTTGGTGCTGAAGGCAGGTGGTAGTGGTGCTGTGACGGTGGGAGATGACGCACTCTGCGGCGAACGGGCTAGCCTGTAGGGTTGAAATAGGGTACAGCAGCGGTGAAAATGGTGGCTTCACCGTGTAAGACTTCCCGGAGTAGGGTTGCGAATGTTTTTTGGGGGGGATATTTGCAAGATGAATGATGGGATCTACCTACAACTATGGTGCTGA